TCAGAATGAGAGTCCAAACAGCTGATAAAAACCTCTCTCTCTCTCTCTCTCTCTCTCTCTGTTCTCTGTTCTCTGTTCGGAGGCAGTAATGATGGAGGATGCACAGATGGTTCGGAGCGGGGCTCTGGATCTACCTGTGCGGACAGCTGGTGACGTCCCATTAACACTTAAAGAGAGGTCTGCCACTGTCACCTGAGCACCGGGAGGGCCTTGGGAATAAACAAATCCATCTTTAAAATGTTTTAACTTCAAACCGTTGCTTCCAGCTAAAATACATTGATTCCATAATCCATAATATACTCAAAGTCACCATGAAATGAAGGATCTTTTCTTCTATATTGTAAATGTAGGGCGGGGTTTGGTTCAGTTGTTGATTGGATGTTGAGATGTGGGTGTGGCACTCAGAGCTCGAAGGGGCGGAGTTTAACAGCACTAAATGATTGAAGACGTCCTGCACATGTAACCAGAGAGAAGACTGATGCTTCACTGGAAGATCGAGTTAATAGCGTCTTAATACTGGATTAGTTTCAGCTTTTGTCTTCTCCAGATGTTAACTGATGGACTGGAGTGCTGTGGATTACTTGTGGATTATTGTGATGTTTTTATCAGCTGTTTGGACTCTCATTCTGACGGCACCCATTCACTGCAGAGCATCCATTGATGAGACACTGATGCAGTGCTACATTTCTACAAACCTGATGAAGAAACAAACTCATCCTGATCTCGGATGACCTGAGGGTGAGCACATTTACTGCAAACTTTCATTTTCAGATAAACTATTCCTTTAAAGGAAAGCTTTCTAGCTGTCTTTCCTCACACTGTTTGTGGTATCATTCACATCTGTATCACGAACGAGTTACACGTAACAGTTTAGTACTTTTATCCTGAGCAAACTGTGGTAAAAAATAATTAAAGTCTAAGTCAACGCAGGGGCAGTGTGAATGTGTTCATCTCTCTCGTCTCAACACAACTCTCCTCCCTCAGACACGAATGCCCAGATGAGAGCGTGTTTTAGAAAGACTTAAATAACGCTAATTAAGGATAAACGGTGTGTGACCGTCGGTAACCCGTGAGACGCGAGGGAGTGTGAGTGTGTAGCAGACGAGCGAGACTCGAGGAGACAGTCCTCATTCACACATCAGCATGAAGAGCCTCGAAAAAACAGAAGTTCCTCCGCTAGGATAAAGGGACTAAATTCAAGATTTCTGGCTTCTTTGTATGAATGCACGTTCTGTCTGGTCACTGGAGTGTGAGTGAAGTCATCCAGACGTTTCCTCAGGACTCCTCATCAACCAGCAGCCAAACATCCCATAATAAGCAGAACACACACCATTGGAGACACTTATGAAACAGGAAATATGATTCAGCATCTGCTAAATGTTTTTCCTGCACTGCTAAATCAGGAGCGCGCCGGTGCTTTCTGCTGTGAAGAAACAACCATCGTTTCTCTTAAAGGAAGGTCAATTATAAAGATTGAACCAGCCACTGCTTACAGTTTAATGCAGCACACGTCTGTTTTATGAACAAAATAACCTGTAAATTTACGTCACGGGTGAATAAAATTGAGAGTTTAATCTCATAATAAAATACTTTTTACTTCTCTAAGTGGTTAGACATAACTTTCTATGGAAGCCCATTTCCATACCAAAATAAAAATCAAATAAATAAAACAGGTAATTGCCACTTTTATCTCAAAGTTTTGACTTAGTTTCCTCATAATTCTGAGGGGTAAAAATAAATAGTCACAATACTTGTTTTTTACTTTTTGGTGGGAAAAAAAAACAGAATTGTGAGATGTAAACTCAAGAAAAAAGTTTGTATTGTGAGATAAAAAGTCGCATTTACACACACACACTCACTCTCACACACTCACACACACACACACACACACACACACACTCTCACTCACTCACTCACTCACACTCACACACACTCATACCCTTGTCATTATACAAATTTATGTCCTCATTTGTCACAAAAACGCGCACACACACACACACACACACCAAGTCACGTTTTCTACTTCTTTATTTCGTCACGAAAGCAGACTTCTACAATTCCCCCTGGCATATGATAAATTTGGTCTAAATACACTCTTAAAAATAAAGGTGCTTCACGATGCCATAGAAGAACCTTTTTGTCTAGATGGTTCCATAAAGAACCTTTAACATCTGAAGAACCTTTCAGTTTCACCTTGTGGTGAAAGAAGGTTCTTCAGATTATAAAAAGGTAAGAAAGAGATGGTTCTTTGACTGAATGGTTCCTTGTGGAACCAAAAATGGTTCTTCTATGGCATCGTTGTAAACAACCTTTTAAGCAGCTTTATTTTTAAGAGTGTATCCCATAGACTGAAAGAGAGCAGAATATCAGAGACTTCAGGATAAACTCTGCTGATTTTTGCTTGTATGCAATCACTTAGCAACCACATAGAAGCACCCTAGCAACCACAGATACATTGTGGCAGTGAGTTTTACAAGCACCACTCACATCTCCTTCAGATTTTGAGGTTGTATGTCAATGAAAATCCAATCTTTTTGATCTCTGCATCTCTGTAGATTAAAAAGGCTGTGTTTTGACACAGGCAAGAGGCAATATATGAATTATGCATTCGATTGTACAGCTCTAAAGTCTCTCATACTACTTAAATCTAACACTGCTCAATCTCAGTGCTGCTGTTCATAATCTAACACAGTGTACCTTTTTTATTTGCCCAATTAGCACAAAAATGGCCTTATCTTCGTTTGAGCATGTACTTTGTTGAAGGATTACTCTGAGGACCAAAATATTCCCTTAAGTGAAGAGATTTTTTGTTTGCCCTACTTATGGTTAACCTCATTACTGCTTAATAGCAGAGAAAGGTTTTTTTAGAAGAACACTGTTGCAGCTTAAATTAATGAGCGTTTCTGCGTTTTGGGCTCTAAATGAGGTGTGCGCCAGACGGGCCATTTCTAACACGTCTCAAGGTTAAACACCACACCCATCCTTTGCCAAAACCAGGTCAGGTTAATGTATATTCCATGCAAATCACTTCAACTACGTGCATAATTAATATACCTGTGTAATTATCCATTGCCACCAACAACGCTTAAAAATATGCATATTTTAACACTGCAGGAAGTTTTAAAATGCATTACAACTTTAAATTCTTGACTATATAAATCCCAAAATATTACTGATTTTTAAATAATTTTTTTAAATTTTTTTTTTTATTTTCCTAATATTATGTTTGCATTATGTGGCACTCAGGTGTTCAGTCTTGAACTGACATATACTTTATTATGTCTAATAAAATGTCTTGCTGCAATGAACAAATACATTCAACAATATAAATAATCATATAAGGAATATTAATTTCAACAAACAATAAAATAATACATAATAAAACACAACACTTAACACAATCAATCAAAATGTAAAAAATTAATAAAATGACTATACCATGCAAAACATCTTACAACAAAGGGATATTATAACATATAAAGGATAGCACCTTATTATGTATATTTCAATTATTATTTTGACATAAAGGCCAATGTGGGGGGAAATGTACAGTTTAGCAATTGTAAAAAAAAATTGAAATATAGTAATTGAAATATAAAATATACATATTAGATGAAAAACTTTAATTAAAATATTACCTTAGCAAGTAAATGAAATACGTTTACTAAAACTAAAACTGAAATTAGCTATAAAGAAACAACAAATGTAACATTATAATAATAAAATAAATAAATATAATAAAATGAAAAAAGATAAATGCACTTAACAAAATGACCAAAACTTAATAAATTAAATAAAAACTGAACAAAAAATAAAAAAATAATAATAACAGTTTTCTCAGATGATCAGACAGGCGGAGGATGATCGTCCAGCGCAGGGTTAAATCACATTAGTTTCTGAGGAATCGGGCCCTCGTGTGCTGGAGGGGGAAGGGCCCCAGAATCCGGCCCTACAGACCCTAAGCCTGATCCAGCACTGGGCCCTCATCAGGCTCTGGGGGTTGGGGGTTTGATGGGGTCAGATGTTTTGTCCCCTCAGATGAATAATGCATAAGGGACAGCAGAGGAGACACACAGACGATGTGGACTGAGAGACATGCTGTGTATATTCAGTATGTTTAGATGCTGTTTCATAGCGGCTTGGGATGAAAAGTGAAGATTGTGAAGTTGCCTGGTGCTCTACAGTCACACACTGCTCAAAACGAGGATGATGCAGGATTTCAGATCAAGCGTGTTCATCTGATCAGATTAAACTGGATGTTTTTTATCCGTGTTGCTCACTACTGAAACACTTCATACAAACATACTTGTAAATGTTATTTTATTTTTATAAAATATTGCATTTGATCCACCTCAAATAAGACCTATAATCCACCTATATATACATACTGTTAATATATCGTTTAGCAGCACTGTAGCTTTGCAGGAGGTTTCTCGAAGCGTCTCGGAGACACAGTTCTTCTGGATTGAGTCTGTCTCAGTTTGTTCTGTTTCTTCATGTGACTCCAGACAGACGGATGATGATCAGATCACATCTCTGTGTGCAGCACTAACATATATCTCACTGCATTATTACAATTAATGGAAAAATTAATGTTTGGAAATGTAAGCTGATATTTCCTACTGACACACTACAGCAAAAGATAGAAATAACTGACTTAAAACCATTTTATCTGCTGAAAATACTAATTTTGGCCACCACTATATTTATATGTAGCCTATATACATAGTGAAGTTTAGTCAGTAACTGTTACTCCAGTCAGGAGTTTTTGTTAAATGTCCAGTTGCCATGTTCAGACATATTTCTATAATATTGTAAGGAAGGAGAAGCGAGCGTGGCCAAAGCACTCAGACAGAGGAGGACAGGAATGTGTTCTTACGCAATGAACGCGTGGGAGCTCCAGACGCGTCGCGTCGCGTTTACTCCGGTGGGCGGGGCTCGGGGCGCTGCGTCCAGCCAATCACCGCGCCGCTGATCTTCCCTTCTCTCTCACTCAACTGCTGGAGTCTCGCAGAAGAAGCGCTAGCGCCGAGGATGAGGAGGATGAGGATGAGGATGGATGCTATACCGTGTCGTCTCGTGTTTTTAGCCCTGTTCTTTGGAGCCAGGATCCAGCACACAGAAGGTACGAGCAGCTCCGTCAGTGTGTGTGTGTTATTGCAGTGAACGCCGCTCGTCTGGCGCCAGAGGAGGGGGGCTGCTCTTTGTTTGCAAGCAACTGCAGCCCCAAAGAGTCTTTCTGCAAAGATGGCGCAGATCAGAGACAGACAGAGAGATGCTGTCAGTGCAGGCTCCTTTATTCCGTCGCGAAAGAGAAGAAACGCGGAGAAAGTCCTTTAAATCACACCTGATTGCGCTCGGAACCGGAGTGTGTGTGTGTGTGTGTGTGTGTGTGTGTGTGTGTGTTTGGAGGATTCACGATCCTTTAAATCACACCTGATTGCGCTCGGAACCGGAGTGTGTGTGTGTGTGTGTGGAGGATTCACGTGTGATTAATGCTGGAGATGTTTACGGTCTGATTGTAGGTGATTGTGTTTGTGCTTATCAGTTTTTATGATCATAAGCTCGTCAGGACAGTGACACACACACACACACACACCCTGACTCGAGGTGTTATATTTTCAGTCGAAACTGGCTTAACTACCTGTTAAACTGCTTTCATAAGCAGATGATACCAGTGAAGTGTTTGTGAATGAGTTTGTTGTGACTCGCTCTTGAAACGCTACAGCTAGTCGGACTTTATTTTGGTCTCGCCCAATAATCGTCAGTTTGACAGACTGCTCTGATAAATAAGTCAAATAAATAGCTTTTTATTCACTGTTTAGTGTTTACCCGTTAAAAAAGTTATTTTTCGTATTTGGTCTCACTTATTAAACAAATAATCTTAAAATACGCCATATACGGTGTTTTTTTACGTTTATAACGTTAGCTAGCTGGATCGGGCTAACAGTCCAGATAACTATTAAAACTGATTTAAATGCTGCTAGCGGTTGTAAAGTTATACATAGTGAGATTTGTTTCTCAGAATGTAACTTTAATGTGTTTTTATCCTCGTTTGTTGTATTTAAAAAGTGTTTCGTCACCTCGTTTGACTTTTGCGCACGGTATTAGCTGTTAGCTGTTTGGCTAACTTGTTTTCACTAGTTCTCCTTAGTTTGAAAACCGAACGAATCTACAAATAACAAAATAAAGCTAGTTAACTGGTAATGGCTGTCGGATTTGTCTCCATTTGTGTTATTATAGCGTATAAACATTTTAAGAATAGTGATTTTAAACATTTTTATGAATAGTGATTTATATGCTGGCGTTTATAACTGTCTGTAATAAACTGTTTACACACGTTTAGAGAGGAAGACATCGTTCACTCGCAGTAGTAAGTATGATAATAGTAAAGTAAACAGCATGATGTCAGATGTTTGTGTATATAGACTGAAGAATGTAGGAGAGGGGGTTCAATCTTCAACTGGCTGGCAGGAGCCGCCACTGACAGGTCATGTGACCTGCCAGTGGCTGGTGGCAGCTGCCAGTCTGATTCTGGCAGGTCACGTGACCTGCCAGTGGCTGGCTGGCAGCTTCAGGCAGCCGCTGTAGATCTGCGAGTAGAACGCCTACCCTATCACTCTCCCTGCAAGGAAATACACTATTTTATTATGAATATATTTTTATGACTCTGTGCCACTGGCAGCTGCCACCAACCACTGGCAGGTCACGTGACTTGCCACTGGCAGCTGCCACCAACCACTGGCAGGTCACGTGACCTGTCAGTGGCGGCTCCTGCCAGCCAGTTGAAGATTGAACCCCTACTGGAATGTAGACTGTGGCTGTCTCAAATCGTTGTGTGCTGACCAACTAGACCGCATGCGTGGGTGTCACACTAGGACAACACGTTTTTTTTCTCTTTTTTTTGTGTATGGCATGGTATTGCCATTTGCACCACAGTGCATTTTTGTAGAAGTATTTTTAAATGTACCTGTGATGCCCTGTGGGTTTGTTCTGCTTCTCAATCGGTTTCATCACATGCACTTTTAGATGGGAATGACTGCAGGTTTGAGCATGTCACGTTGAGTTGAATAATCCTGCTTTGTCTGTGGCACAGTTATTGTCACATGCATTTATGGACAGGTGGCTTGAGTTTGTGTCACCTTCAGTAAATCAGGGATGTTGCTTTATTGGCACCGTATGAATCATGAATGTCAGAAGAGCAGTGATACTTAAAGTCAACATGAAATGGCGTTTGCAATCAATTGTGTGTTTACTAGATGCATATCAACGAATAAATAATGTCAGTCTTTGTTTCTTGTTCACTGTAAATGCATGAATTGTAAAAAGCACCTTAAATTAATCAGTGGAATCGAACTCGGTCTGCATTTGTGGCATAATGTTGATTACCACAAAAACAACTGACTTTTTCTGCACTTATTGAAAAAAGGCCCATCCACAACAAGAACGTTAACTAAAGATAATAAATGGTGCGTTCGAGTTCTCCTGGGAAGTTAGTATTTTTATTTACGAGTTGACAATTGTAATTACAGCGTCAGGTGTGTTCATGTCACTTTGGTCGGAGTAAGATGGCAATGCACTTTTTATACAAAAATTCAACAAGATTTTTAAACTATTTCTACAAAATGATGAGTAAAGAATGTGCCCCTTTTGCTTTATTTTTTGTTTTTTATTTATGAAGGTGCTGTAAATTGAATCGGTATGTATCGTAATTGTACAATATTATCTTTTTTTTTAAAAGATGCAACTTAGTTTTATTGTAAATGACAAAAAATATATATGTTCATTAATTTCTACAAATTTACCATCAATACAGACGCTGCATCCATTGCATCTGACATGTTTTCTCACTGACACGCACACAACTCAGAAACTCTGAGTTTTCCTCTCATAATTTGTAAAAAAAATAATGTTGTGGTGGCGTTCATGTGCGATCAACTTGTATACAATTTTCCTGACATGACTTTAAAGCACCAAATATTAATTCTATTAGAATTCACGCCAGCAGTTTTTATTGTTCTGTTTCTTCTTCTTCCTATTATTTTTGTTTCTAGTTTTGTTGTCTGCCGCTTTAAATGCTCAAGCTCTTTAAAGCAGGATGGATTCTGATTGGCTGTCAATGTTTTATCGTTCATCAGCTGGAAAAAAAAATAGTTCTGAAAATGATTCACTGTATCGCTATTGTTAAAATTGTAGTGTGGACTTCATTCAAATTCTATGAGGATAGTGAATATCTATAATATAGCTACCATGACCTATCTTTGATACTTTTCATTTTGAGCTGTTTTACAGTAGGTGGCACAGATTGGCAATGACATGCATAGTGACATCATCTAGTGTTTCAATGTTTATGAATTGACTTCCAATGTAAGTGCTTCTCTGTATCTCAGATTTTTGATTTTTTTAGAAAACAAATTTTTGTGGTTATCAACATTCACAAGTGTCACCAAATCATGCACTTCCAGGATGAATTGTGTATGAAATGGATGGGATTGTAGCCTCTTAATATACAATCGAGTGAAAGCATTGTTGGACTGTCTTTAAAAGCACATCACCTGAGCATCTCTGTCAGTTTGGCTCCGGATGCATGACTAATATGTAATGAGGCCTCCTCTGTGGATTCATCCAGAGATGCTGATTTAAAGCCCAGTTCTGATGCATGCTCATACAATAATGTTACCTTTGGGACGGGAATCTGAATTGTTTTTGTGACCCCAAACCGCCTGTTGTCCCGGCTTAAAGAACCAAAACTAATTTGAGAAGTTGCATTAGTGCCAGCGGTGAGTGCCTTGCTTTTGGCAGAAGCAGTATTTTGCAGCGATGGTGGCTTTTAAAAGTATAGCTGGCTCAGGGAAACAAATAAAACGCTCCGAGGCTTGGGTATATCTGGAGCACTTTGTGTTAGACTTGACTTGCGGCTCTTAAAGTGACAAAGTAATAGAGTTTTCAGGCTCCAATTTTTAAGTAATAGACTACGGTTTATGGGTGACGATTTAGTTTTAAGCAGCGTTCTTTTTGTCTGTCTCTGGGAGTTGAATTTGGCATTATTCACAGATAATAACAGGCACATTTGCATCTTCTGAAGAGCTCGCCTTGAACTGATATCAGTGCGAGAGGCTGTTTTATTAAAGCGCTGCACTACTGACACGTTATGAAAAAGCGTAAGAGCTGCTCTCATGCGGTGCATTTGCTGTTTGTATTTGCTGAAGTAATTCGGCTTAAGTGCCCTCCTTGGGTTCCCGTGTTTGAGCATCTCAAGTCATTATGACTTTATGACTTTCAAAACACGTTTCCTTTGGGACGAAACGGAGGCCTTGTCGAGCTCTTCCCCGCAGACCGCAGCGCTCTCAGCTTCCCGTGTTCGATCGGAGGAATCCCGTATCACTTCACAGCATGTTATTATACGGACGTTCAGAGTTCAGACTGAGGGATTTGTGGTTTGGATGCAATAGGAGATAGTGGCATGATTAATGGCCTCTGTCAAAGCACATAAATCAAGCGTTTCGCAACTTGCACTGTCAACATATCAGCATAATGTGTAGAAATGCCTGCATACACAACAGTTTAAGCATTAGTTCATCCAGAAATGAACATTTAGTCATTTTCATGTCATTGCAAACCTCTTTAACTAATGGAAATACTGAAATTAGGCAAATACAAGAAAATACAGCTGCGCATCACAGAAATACATTGCAGTTTAACAGATATTCACATAGAAAACAGCTGTTTTACATTGTAATAATATTTCACTGTTTTTACTGTATTTGTAATCAAATGCAGCCTTGGCAAATACACTACCTTTCACAAGTTTTGAGTTTTTGAAAAAATTAATACATAATCAAGGATTCATTAAATTGATCAAAATTGACAGTAAAGACATTTATAAGGTTACAAAAGATTTCTTTTTCAAATAAATGCTGCTCTCTTGAAATTTCTATTCATCTGTGAATCCTGAAAAATAAAATGTAGCACAGTTTCCACAAAAATATTGTGCAGCACGACTGTTTTCAACATTGATAATAATCAGAAATGTTTGTTGAGCAGCAAATCAGCATATTAGAATGATTTCTGAAGATCATGTGACACTGAAGACTGGAGTAATGATGCTGAAAATACAGCTGCGCA